TAAGCCAGTGACATGAACTAAGTTGTTCCGTGTAGGTAACTTCAAAAAGTTTTTCATCTTTTCCGAAATAAAGGTGGATTGTGATCCTGAGTCTATTAGAGCTCGGGCATCGTAAAGTTGTCCTTTGGTTTCAATTTGTACTATTGCTGTGAAAAGTAGCGTTCCTCCAGATTGTCGCTCACTAATTTGCTTATCTTGGAGGGTCAAAGTAGTAATAGTAGTTGGTTCTAGGTTTGTAGTGGACTGTATTTGATTTGTAAGAGCAGCAGCACTAGTACTAGGTCGTGCTTCCACTCGAGCTAGGTATGAGTTGGTTGTTTGGGTTTCCGTTCCCTTGTGTAACAAAGTATTGTGTTTCATAGTACAAATACGGCAGCCAAAGCGACTTTTGCAATCCTTTACTCCGTGATTTGATGACAAGCAATTGTAGCATAAGTGTGAAGTTTTCACGATGTGAATTCTGTCATTCACACTCTTTTTCAAAAATTCGCTGCAATCTCTTATGAAATGATTTGATTTGCAGACTTGACAAGTTTGAGCATTTTTCTGTTTATTTTGTTGAGGTAATATTACATTAGTAGGTCTTCCTCCAGAGTTGTTTGTATTTTTTGAGACATTTGTTTGAAATGTTTTCAAAAATCTAGGCGTGTAATTGTTAGTTGGTTTTTGTTGAGCAAATTTCGATGTAGAGGGCTTTATATTACCAACTGATTCCAAAGTTTTGAATTTGTTTGTTAAGAAAGCGTCAAACTGTTCCCATTTTGGAATTTGTTTACAATCTTTTAATGAGTTCTCGAATTCTTCTAAAAAGCCTCTAGGTAATTTTGTTGAACAAATGTATATTAAAATCGGATCCCATCCTTTAACATCGACATCAAGCATCCCCAGTGTCTGAATGCTGCTATTAACAGTGCGTTGTAGTTTTTGTATAGAGTGACTTGATTCAGTAGAAACTCCAGGTAGATTAAAAAGTGTCTTGATTTCTTCATTAATTTGCATTCTTTTATTCTCGTAACGATCTGTGAGATTTTTCCATGCTAATGTAAATCCATCATTAGTTAGTGGGACATGTGAAATAATTTCTCTAGCTTCTCCTGCTGTCTTCTGCGTTAAATGGAATAATTTTTCGACATTGCTTAATTTTGAGTTGTTTATGTAAATTGCCGAAAATAGATCTCTGAAAGTCGGCCATTCTCTGTAACCACCTTTAAATGTGTCTGTATCGCATGGAGGTAGCCGCGATACGTTTGTGAAATCCACTTCCCTTCCTTGTTGTGACATCTCTGACTCTCTTTCCATTTTTTCCTGTGTCTTTTCATCCAAAATATTTTGAATTTGTCCATTTATTGAACTCAGCGCTTTTTTGTACGATCCCATGGTATCCATATAGTGCTTTCTCAGTTTATTTTTATCGATCGGCTTTCCTTCCTCTTCTGGAACATAATCCCGACAGTCTATGTAGGCTCTCTTGACCTGGTCCCATGCAGAGTCCAACTCCATTCGTGTTGTTTCCAAAGTATGTACCGTGTCATCAGATTTGGTTATTGAAAAAATTGAAATATAATCCAGAAGATCGTTGACGCAATTTGTGAATTTATCGCTTAATGTTTTATCCATTTTGAAAACTGAGCGTTAACCTTTACGAAATTTTGTTGTTTTACAAAAAAGAAAAGTTGCCCAATGAAAAGGACTAACTTGGTTTAGAATTTAAACTTTTATCCAAATTTTTATTTGTTAAAATGAGGATAAGTTTTTTTCTCAATAGTTGTCGACGAAAACGATCCTATTTTATTGGTTTGAGTCAAATTATATTTCGTTCCTTTCAATAATTAAAATTTTTTTTCCAAAAATTCAAAAATTTTCTTTATATTTGACGCCGGACTGACTTGATTAAAAATGTTTGCTGGGTTACCAGAAGGGTCAAAATTTCGCCAAAATGAGCAAAAAGGAAAATAAAATCTCTTAAAGTCCACTTACAGGAGGATTTTATTTTTGCAATTCGACAAATAATCAAAAGTTTTTAAAACAAAAGTGTTTAAACGAGAATTGCAAAGCAGAAATTACCAGAGATGGTTTGCGCAGTAAACAATTTCTTCAAAAAAAACGAGAGTCTAATTTGATTGTCCACGAGAAGTTGAAAATTCCAAAAAATTTCAGAGAGTCCAAAAAAATTTCAACGAAGTAAAAATGTGTGTTGGGTTGTCAAAAAAAAATTAAATTTTTGTTAAAATCACTTAATATCCTATGACAGGAGGATTTTATTTTTAAAAAGCCAATAACTTTGATTATTGCTTGTGAAAATTTGTCTGATTCAACAAATTTTCTAAATTCGCCAAATTTTTTCGATAAAATTCGCAACGAGAATTGGAGAAAATTATGTATGTATAAATCCAAATATTTCAGCAGAAATATTTCAAACAAATAATTTGGGTCAAAAATCCAAAAATTTGAGCAAAAATTTCCAAAAAATTTGATTTGGGTCAAGGTCCAAATATTTCAGCAGAAAATTTTTTGTCCCAGCAGAATATTGCAAAAGAAAATAATTTGGGTCAAAATCCAAATATTTTCAGCAAAAAATTCAAGAAAGTGTAAAAAATGTCAATGAAGAAATTTTTCCCAAAAAGTTGTCGTGTTATGTGTCACAAAATCAAAAAAAGTATACCAGCAAAATATTTCTGCGAAAAATGCAAGAAATTAATTTTGGGTCACAGAAAAATTTTTAAGCTCCTTAGAGCAATAGATATTGTGCTAAATGGGAAAAAAGGTTAAAATTATAATAAAAATATAAATTGTAAATATATGGGATCGATTTTATGTCTGTCCACCGGACTCCGATATAAAATTTGTTCTCCAAAATTTCAAAAAAATTTGTAGTTTAAGTTTCAAATGTATGTCTGTCCACCAGACGCTTGCTTGTTTGTCAATTTTTTTCTCCAAAAAATTTGTAGTTTAATTTTCAAATGTATGTCTGTCCACCAGACGCTTGCAAAAATTTCAAAAAAAATTTAGGTTATTTTTTTTTTGTCTGTCCACCAGACGCTATTTTTTAAACGGGTTTTATTTACTCGTTTATGTATTCGGGTGACGCCAAATTTTTCCAAAAAATATGGCGACTATATATTGCAAGTGACGCTTTTTTTCCAAAAAATTGTATATAGTTTTTGCAATATGGCGTTTATATGTTTGCCAAGTTTAGTGACGCCAACTTTCCAAAATTAAAAGCTTATGTATTTGTGTCAATATGGCGCTTATGTATTCACCTGAACTCCACGTTCAGAAAATTCCAAAATTTTTGTATATATATATTTGGATATGGCTGAAAATTCCCGTTTTTTCAGAAAAGAATATGTCTGCCTGTTTTTCCCGGGTCAAAAGCCAACTGTCCGTCCAGAAAAATGGCTCAAAATTGGTAAATTTTCAGTCACTGTGTCAGAGTTGGCAACTAGCAGCTTTGAATATGGGTCAAAGTGTTATTGCAAATTATGGGAATATGCGGGTCAATGCAAATATTGAAGATTTGCTTGCTCCCGAAATGCCCTTTTGTGTCAAAAAAGAAAATTTCACGAGTACTCACTTTGATCTTGGGTTTTGGGTCTCGGTTGTTGTTGTTGTTGTGCTGCGTGTGTCCGTCCTACTGCTGGCTCCAAAATTCTCCGTGTCGTGGTTGTTTCGCAATTTTCCTTTGCCACTGCCTTTTTCCACTGAATATTGTCTCTTTTGTGTCACTGTGAATTGTCTTCTTTTTTTTGTATAAAAAACTTCTTCAACTTTTTAATAATTTTTTAGATTTTATATTTTTTAAAATTGAAGAAAAAATTAAATTTTTCTAAAATTTTAAAAAATTTTAATTTTTTGTAGCACTGTGTAACTTAACTTTTTGTTGCACTGTGTACTGTCTATTTTTTGTAAATTTTTTCAATTTTTTTCCAAAGTTTTTTTTTTTTTTTTTTTTTTTTCCAACACTTTTTTAACTTAGCACTTATTTTTTAACCCCACTGTATTTTTTTCTATTTCACTTTCTTTTTTCTCACTGTTCTTTTGTCCGTCCACTCACAAGTTTTTTTTTTTTGTTTTTAATAATTTAAAAAACTTCACTTTTTGATCCGGCTCTTACCTTTTTTGCCTTGAGACTTCTTAAATTATAAGAAATATTTTTCTTTTAATTTTTAGTTCTTTTATTTGGATTTTGGGGTAGTGCAATTTTAGATATAAAATAGTTTTAAGTTTTCACTAGTTCATAAGATTTGCTTTATTTAGATAATTATATTTAGTTTGTAATTCAATAGGTTTTAAGTTTTATCTTAATTATAAGTTTTAAGTTAGCAGGTAAGTTTTAGCAATTAGTTTCACAATTATTCTTTTTGTTGTATATTGTATTTGTAGAAAGCTTTTGTTTAACATAGATAATTTTGTAATATTCTGTTTTTTCGTAATTTTGATACCTTTTGTTGTATTTCAATGTTCACTGGTTTTTGTAATATATAAATGTTGTTAGTTTTTTTTTTCCTTTTATTTTTGCACAGACACTTGTCACTCGGGGGGGAAACTTGCGCTCGCGACGGTAATTACATGAGAACTGATTATTGCCAAATTTGCATCGTCACATCAAACCTGTTTTGGCTGTTGACGATGCTTAGTTATTAGAATTCAGCATTGGAATTTACCGGTGGCTGCATAAATGTATGTGTGTATGTGTATGTATTTACATTATTTACATCATTTTGTTATGATGCCATTTATGCGGCCGCCGGTAAATGCTCAACCAACAGTGTTGGGCAAATTAATAGCAATATTATGAACACGTAGAATATCATAAATAGAAAGAAAGTAAATAGAAATTAATGTAGAAAGTAGAATACGGTAATGTCATTGGTTAGGAACATTGAAATAGTTTGGCGACACAACCAAGCCTTCCGATTTCGTATCATGGTAGTAATTCACTAGATTCACAAGGACAAGTAAAAAAAATCTTAGATCTAAACATTTTGTGTTTAACTTACTGCTTCGTTTTCTTTCTTTAGACGAATTTATATCTTGTAATTCTTCAACGTCTTCAAATGCTGATGATTCGTCATCAGATGTTGAGGATTTGTCATTAGATATTGATGATTTGTCATCTAATACTCCATACTCCGTGTTACCCGGCATTTCAGGGCATTCGGGCGAAAAACAGTTATCATCCTGAGTGCTATCTTTGTAATTGTTATTAACGTTGCAACCAGCCGCGGACAATAAAATTTTAGATACAGTCGTTATTTCGGCCATTGGGACTGGTATTCTGTATATGCTTTTGTGAATGTCCTTGTGGTGTCCAAGAAAATTTGCTAGTCTTTCCACAGTAGATTCTTGAACGTTTAATAAAGATGTATATGTAGCTATATGTTTTCGCAGTTTCGTTCCTCTTAAGTCGTCAGGAAATGAAGCTCCACACTCCGATGCAAATTTTGATAATAATGGACATGCTCTATAATACATTTTAGCTAAACCAGATTTTCCCGGGGCGCTGAATATATATGGATTGGATTCGCGTATTCCAGCTTTTTTTCGAAATTTTATGATAAGGTTGATTGACTTTAAACACATGGGATCTAGTAGAACGCCCACCGTTCTTCCTAATTTTCCCCGTAAAGATATTCTCACAAATTGTTTAGCAAATTTAATTGATTGTTCCGACATTTTTTCGAGAAGACCAGCTTCTACGCTATTTGTTATTTCTTCTTTATTGTTGAAATTGTCAATTGTAAGTCTCTCTATTTCTCCAGCTCTTCTGCGATTAAAAACTTGAATGCATATTAGAGTTGCCTCAACTAGATCTTTCCATGCTTGAAAGCAAAAATTTTTATTTAATATTCCAATAGAACGTAGCATTTTTGATCTTAGAAAATCGTACAGTAGTTTTATATCTTTTTTATTGGGCAAATTAACTTTTTTTGTTCTTCTTTTGTTTTCTCTGTCCTCGATCGCTTTTCTATTAATCTGCGTAGGCGTTTCATCCACCCATAGAGAAACAAAATTGTCCAGCAGAGTTTTTAAATCATTTTGTTGTTTTTTTATAAACTCATTTCCTTGTATTTTCGCGCATTTTTTTATCAAACTTGTAGCTACAGCTGGTGTAGCAAATCCCTTGGTGAAGTCCCATTTGGCTGTATTTCGTAAAGCTTCAATTGCTTGATCGAAGAAGAACGGTTTGAACATTTCTTTTAACTCGGTGATCTCCGGTTCCAGTTTCATTAACTCTATCTTAAACCGCCCCAGTAGTCTCATATGCGATCTTATCTGATCATGATGGTGGGTTTGCGATAGTTTTTCAGATAACCTGTTCCCATATCTAATGATTAGTTCATCGTAGCGTATGGCCTGGCTTACCTCATCGTTACGTAGAACTGGGAATATGCTACTTTTCATTTCCCGATTTGCTACAGGGTGCAAGTACTGTGTCAGTTTTCGGCCCTCAATAAAATTGGATCTTTGATTTTTCTTTTTACTACAATTGCGGACATGAGCCCTTGCTGTGTATTTTCGGTAAAAGCCTTTGCACATTGGACAACACACGTAGTCATCCGGATTGTGTTTCGCATTTTGTTGTTGTCGTCTGAGAACAATCAGTGTGCCTGTATTTTGATCTCTGGATGTGTTGTGAATGAAATCGCCTTGTTTTCGAAGTTTGTCAATTATTTGAAGGCGATCTTTACTCTTTTTTGGAAGTGCCATTGCCATTTTAACGAGTTTTTCGCCTTTATGTTTTAAAAAGAGATGTCTTGCAATTTTAGTTTGTAGAGTTTTACAAAAAATACAGAAGTGTTTTTTTGACTTTTGATTTGAAAGTGGCACGGAAACTTGCGCAATGTTTAATGTGTCGGAAATTTCCAAAAAAGAACTGGCATTTATGGTTGTATTTTCCATTGTAGAATCGGGCAAATATTCTTGTCCAGATGAACTTTCGTCATTTGCTTGAGATGTGCTGATGTTTGTCAAGCTAAGCAAGTTGTTTTGAATATTTGTCAATCTGGGGTTTTCCCCGTAGGTTTCTATCGTTGTCGAATTTTTATGACTTCCCAAATTAAAACTACTGCTTTCATTGAATGAATCGTCAGTAGTTTTTGTGTCATGTTTATTAGGTTTACTAGCAGATGGTTGTTTTATTAACGGAGTGTGTTCTTCGAACATTTGATTTGTTTGTATTTCTATTTCAATGAAAACATTATCAGTCGAAATTGCCCTGGGAGACGACTTCGATTGCCATGATAACGACGAATTATGTCCCTCGTCAAATACATTTTCTGACCTCTTACTAAGGTTTTCAACCGAAGACGACACTGAATCATAAAGGGCGCTATTATGCAGTATGCCTTGATCCGTATCTTCTGATTGTTGTTCTTCAATATACAAACTTGAAGGGCTTTTTAATAACATAGGTTTGGTATAACCTGGAACCGGACAACCAGAATTTTCTGTTGAGGCATCGCTTGCTTGGTGTATTGTATTTTCATCTTTTTTCACTGAAGAACTTTGAACTGCATATATATCTTTCATCTCCGAGAGATATATTTTATCATCTAGAAGATTATGTTGTTAGTATTTGTCGTAAGCATGAATTCGTATATTTGAAATAGGCCCCGAAGTTAGCCGTTATTAAAGTGAATAAAGCAAAAACATGCCAATTGGAAACTTTATGTTTTAGATATAGATGCGCCATTTCATTTGGAACTCAAAAATTGGATTAGAAATAACGACTCTGAAACTTTTTATTTCTTTTTGGACGGTTTTGTATAAAGGAAAATTTTTTCGTTTGCTGTTTTGAACCTATAATTAACGTTTTATAATTTATTTCTCAGAAAATTAAAAAAAATAAAATAAAAAAAAAGAAAGTAAAATAATAATAAAATTAAGAAATAATTAAGTTTAATGGACAAAATGTTCATTCGATTTCACTTAAATATGTGATTTAAATTAACTGCAAATCTATGCTTTGATTTATAAAAAAATATGATGTATCCTTTAAAGTGCGGTTTACGGAAAAGTGAATTAGGATAAAGGCAATTAAAATCACTCACATTCTTCTCCCCAATAGGCATATTTTACTAATGATTTAGATGTTTGTACTTTTTTTTATTAAAATTTCTTCAATAGTTATTTTTTCGTGTCATTTCGACCAACGATCGGAACTTTTTACAAGTTGTTCATTATACTTACCACTTGATAATATTAATCGCGCTGCATAGAAACATCCTTTAAAATTAACCGTACAATTCTCTCCTTCACGTAGTTTAATGCGTTTTGAATCGACAATATGTAATTCATTGTTGTGAAATGCAACCAAAGAAAATTTATTTATTCTGAAATACAAACAGATTTTTTTTATTTCATGAACAGTGCATGAGTTGAAGAATATTTATTAATTTAAATATAGGTGAAACGGCCAACGATACATGTTACAACAAACAAGTAAAAAACAGTAAATTCGGCCGGGCCGAACTTTGAATACCCTCCACCATTTAGAACGAATTTGTAAATTTTCGAAAAAGATAACATTCGACAAAAATTGTGCTTAAATCTTATAAATACCGAATATAGCCGTTATATTAGGGTCTGTACGACGTGCACCTACGTAGGCATTGTTTGTCATAAGCCATTACCATATTCCAAACTTGAAATAAACGGTGAATAATATAGCAAAAATCAGAGCTATACGAAAACCTGGACCTGCATAGACAATTTTCTGTAGTTCCCATTACGAACTCTAGATATGTAATTTGAAACTACTCCGGTGAATAATGACGCTAAAATCATCAAATTGCCGAATATAGGGAGGTACCGTTATATGGGGCCTATACGAAGACGTGAACCTGCATAGACAATTTTGTGTCTCAGGCTGTAGCATGCATTTCGAACTTCAAATGTCAAATTTGAAACAATTCTGGAAAATAATGTCGCTAAAATCATAAAAATACCGAATATCGGGAGGTACCGTTATATGAAGGCTATATGAAAACGTGGACATACCATTTACGAACCTAACCTGCCTACTGGCAAAATAAAAATTTGTCAAAAATTTTAGCCTTCTATCTCAATCCGTTCGAAAGATAGCGTAATTACAACAGACAGACATACATACAGACAGACGGACGTCGCTAGATCGACTTAGAATTTTACGCTGATCAAGAATATATATACGTTTTTGGGTCTGACATGAGTATTTCGAGAAGTTACAAACGGAATGACAAAATTAATACACCCTCCATAGTATGGTGGAGGGTATAAAACGTAAGATAGAGCTACTAGCAGACTACATTTTTTTTCTAAGTGTGCCTGACCTCTGCCAATTTTGTGTATGTATTTATAGTTTTTAAAAATAAAATACTTTTAAAATAAGTGATTGGAAGAAACGTACATTACGGGACGCGCATTAAAGCTATTCGCCTGCTTATTGTACCATGCAAGGGTGAGCGTCAATAGCTCGTCTAGAATACTCATATTGAAAAGCATTTATATTTTAAGGCCTTTAAATTTCATATCTTCATATCAGTTTGGGCCCAATATGGGACAACAGCATAGGATTCAACTTTGTGGTCCCCTCTTTTGGAAAGAGCGTTGAAAAAGCTTAAAATCCCATCTAAAAATGTTATTAAATTTCATTTATCTATTGAAATGCTAAGCTTGTACACCATAAATATTTCTAATTTTATTGTTGTCTTAAGATATGATCTGTGTTCAGGGAATGAAAAAATTAATTATTATAAATATTGTGTGAAACCCTTACAAATCGAAAGTGAAACTACCGTGTGAACATAGTGATATATTTCCTTCAATAGCGCACAGATTATAATCAACTCTCATATTTATCTTTGCGCTTTCCAATATATTGTGCCTACCATGTGTACAACACATAACTGAATTTGATTGTTTACAAAAATGTGTATTATGTCCCAATCAACACTACTGAAACTTGAATGGAAAAGCGGAGATAAGTTTTCGGCCAAGGATGAAGAAAAGAACTGAAATACTGAAATTTTATGTGTGTGTCACGGTTGGTGTCTGTGACTGCGATTTGGCGGTGATTTAGTAATGCATCCAATATTTGTACGAAAAGTTCTCTGAACGTCTCTAGTTTAGTAAAAACACTTCGATTATTTCGAAATTTCTTCCAGAGGTAAGTATTTTTACCCTGATTCCGGGAAGCTATTTTTTTCTTGGTGGACGGACCTGGGACACCAGATTTTTTACCCGAAAGTCCGGGTACAATACCCGGCCTGGAACGGATACACTTACCCGATATAGTGGTCACATGATGGAGTAAGTGGCCATGGTTCGGCAGTTATAGTCAAATTATCGTTTTTTTGGGCTCGGATTTTTTATGAAACCCCCAGAAAGTCAGAGAAGTCCCATTATGGGGATCAACAAAATTGATGCCAAACTATAGCTGACACTCTTTTCTTTCCAAAATGCTACAATTTGTGCTAATACCTTTTCCGGGTCCAGAGATATGGGTCTTTCCATCCGCATAACTCGATTCTAACCAGTTCATTAAAATTATGTTTTCAAAATGTTCTAAATTTGACATTTTTTTAAAGCCGGCCTTCGGACGGGGCTTGAGATTTTCTCCTCTGGGTATGTCCAACGTCCAAGTTTTCTAAATTTGATGTTTTTGTAATCCAACGACGGCTACGCGAAATAAAGCTTTTTTTATTGAAAACATAATTTTAATAAACTGGTTAGAATCGGGTTATGCAGATGGAAGGACCCATATATCTGGACTCAGTAAAGGTATTAGCACAAATTGTAACATTTTAGAAATGTAAGAGTATCAGCTATTATTTGGCAATTTTGTTGACCAACATAGTGGGCCCTTTGTGACTTTTTGGGGGTTTTATAAAAAATCCGGGTCCAAAAAAATTGATAATTTGACTATAACTTCCGAACCGTGACTACTTACCCCATCATGTGACCACTTGTAGGATATTGTCCATATAGGGTAAGTGCATCCGGGTCCAGGCCGGTTCTTGAACCCGAAAAAAATAGTTTCCCGGGATCAGGTTAAAAATACCTACCACTAGAAAAAATTGAAGAGTTTTTACTAAACTAGAGTTAAACCTAGATCTCTATGGTACTATATTTGTTATTGGGTGAAAGAATGAAGCTGAAATCCTGAAATTGTATACTTAGTGTACTCTGTGTATTATAATTGTACGAAAAATACTAATATGTACTAAATTTGGTGTTGAGTGAAGGTTAGTGTCTGTATTTGAGAGAGGAAAATGGTTTTGGAAAAAATTTGTCCTAGAATCGATGAACAAAGTGTGCATTTTTATACCCTCCACCATACTATGGAGGGTATATTAACCTTGTCATTCCGTTTGTAACTCCTCGAAATACCCATGTCAGACCCAACAAAGTATATATATCCTTGATCAGCGTAAAATTCTAAGTCGATTTAGCGATGTCCGTCTGTCTGTCTGTCCACTATCCACGCTATCTTTCGAACGAATGGAGATAGAAAGCTACACACATTTTTATTTTTCCAGTAGGCAGGTTAAGTTCGTAAATGGGCCATGTAGGTCCACGTTTTCATATAGCCCCCATATAACGGTACCTCCCTATATTCGGTATTTTGATGATTTTAGCGACATTATTCACCGGAATTGTTTCAAATTTAGTATTTGAAGTTCGAAATGGATACTACAGCCTAAGACAAAATTATCTGTGCAGGTCCCCGTCTTCATATAGCCCCCATATAACGGTACCTCCCGATATTCGGTATTTTGATGATTTTAGCGACATTATTCACCGGAATTGTTTCAAATTTGGTATTTGAAGTTCGAAATGGATACTACAGCCTAAGACAGAAAATTGTCTATGCAGGACCAGGTCTTTGTATAGGCCCCATAATCAGTAGCTCCCTATATTCGGTATTTTGACGAGTTTAGGTACAAAAACCACCGAAATTGTTTGAGATGTCGTATTTGAAGTTCGTAATGGATGCTACAGCCTGTGACAGAAAATTGTCCATTTTGATGATTTTAGCTACATTATTTACCGTTTATTTCAAGTTTCGCATTTGAATATGGTAATGCTTTATAACAAAAAATGCCTATGTAGGTCCATGTCGTACAGACCCCAATATAGGGGCTATATCCGGTATTTTTAAATTTTTAACAGAATTTGTTAAGGATTTTATTTTTTGAAATTTCTCAAATTCGTTCCAAAATGATGGAGTGTATTCAAAGTTCGGCCCGGCCGAACTTACTGCTTTTTAACTTGTTAGTTCTAAACTGGTGGAAATTAAAAAAAGCATACAACAAGTATGATTTGTTTTCACGTTTTTATCAACAATATTTTAGGTATTTTATTAACAATAATAGAAATGCTGGTTTGTTTTGAGTGGTGGCTTATAGGAAAATTTAGAAGAAATACATTTTTGTCTTTGACGCTACACTTCTAAACTAGTGCTTTGCAAGATTATTTTTTATAAATTCATATGAATTGCACTGTAACTCAAAATGTGTTAAAACTATTCTGACATATATGTGCGAATTTTCAGTTTTACTTGATACAAACCCGTTTAAAGAGAATATATTGCTGTCGGTAAAATTTAGGAAGATGTGGAATGTGTGAAACGGAGAACTTGGTTCCTCTGTTTGGTTACTTCACTATGTAAACACTTAAAACACTGGTACTCTACTCTCAAATTTTTGGGAAAGTTGGATTTTATTTGGATAGTGTAATTAATTTCTTACCTTGTAGATACACAACGTTCCTCGGTTATTTCCTTAAAGGATGAATCTTTTACGGAATTGTTTGGGGACATATTCTCAATGGATTCTCTTATGGCCGACATTGTAGATGGGGAATAACATCTTGTTTTCCTCAAAGCAGACTTGTCATCATTTATTTGTGCTCCTTCAACAAACTCATCCCTTGTTGCATAGGTTGTTGTACAAATTTGTTCAACTTCTTTAGATGCAATTACTTCTCCTTCTTTTATTTTGTGTAGATATTCCATGTCATCTGTATAGTTATTCGAAATAAATATATTTTTAGTATTGTATTGAAACATTAAAAAATTCAACTATTTTATTTTGAGAAATTAGGAAATATTTTCCAAAACAACTCTACATTCATTGTCGCACAGTGTTAGCTAGTCATAACTATAATTTTTGTATATATTGCATGTTCAATTTACCACTTGCAAGGATTAATATAGCCGAGTAGGAACAGCCTTTATATTTAACGGTGCAATTTTGTCCATTGTTTTGCCTAACAGATTTTGATTTTACGACCCATAGGTCCTCGTTGAAAAATTTCACCAGAGAAAACATTTGGAGACTAAAAAGAGAAACAATACGAAAATGAGAATAAGAGAAATTTAGGTGTTTAAGTAGAGTTGTGTGAATAGAAAAAATTGGAACCAGAATTCATACCACCAAGCCTGATCTCATCTAGCATTTTCATGTTGGAAATCGTTCCAAAGGCCCTATTATTGTTCTATGAAAATTTGAAATGAAAAGCTTACAAAGGAAATATCTTTTATATTAATTGCTTTTCAGAAATCTTATTATACACTCCGCCATAGTATGGAGGGTATATTAAGTTTGTCATTCCGTTTGTACCACATCGAAATATACATTTTACACCCCACAAAGAACACATGTTCTTGATCAGCATAAGATTCTAATTTGATTTAGCAATGTCCGTCTGTGGAAATCACTCTAGCTTTCGAGCGAAATGAAGTAGATTGATGAAATTTTACTCAGATGTATATAATGTCTGCAGAAATTTTGGTATTGAACATATGCCATATAGGTCGACGTCTTCGCATAGCCCCCATATGACAGTACCTCTCGATATTCGGTATTTTAATAATTTTAGCGACATTTTTAATCGAAATTGTTTCAAACCTATGACAGAAAAATATTTATGCAGTTCCACATCTTCGGATAGCCCCCTCATAACGGTACCTCCCGATATTCGGTATTTTGATGATTTTAGCGACATTTTCACCGACTTGTTTCAAACAAAGCATTTTAAGTTCGTCATGGGTACTACAACCTATAACAGTAAATTGTCTATGCAGGTCCACATCATCGAAGAGCCCTAATTTAGTGGTTCCTCTCGATATGCTGTATTTTAATGATTTAAAAGATATTATTTATAGGAATTATTCCAAATTTCGTATTTGAAGTTCCTTACGGGTTCTACAGTCTATGGCAGATTACCTTTGTAGTTCCACGTTTTCGCAAAACCCCTATATAACGGTATCTCCCGAATTCCGTATGTTTTCATTTTAGCGGTATTTTTCGACGGAATTTTTTAACTATTCAAATTCCTTCCAAATGGTAGATGGTATTAAACCTGCTTGTTTACTTGCTTTTCTATCATTTTTAAGTCAAAAAAATAGAATATTGGTATTTGTAAGTAAGTAAATAAAAAAGGCCTTTTTATAAAGGCAAGTTTTGGTACAAAAAACTCAAGCACAAACAAACCGAAATTTTAAATTAGGTAATCACGAAATAACAATCGTTCTGTAATAACATTGAATAAAATATCTTCAAATACATTATATGATCGTAAAACCTCGAAATATTGGTTCTAGTCCCACGATGCTGCCTACCGTTCTTCCGATCTCAACGAACTGTGTCGATCAAACTGTGCGTATTCGTCCGTCTGTATATGTTAATTTGTAATCCCTCAACAGGTAACATTTATGGTCCTCATTAGTGTAAAGTCCACAATAAAAGCATATTGTCTGGAGATTAGTACTTTGAAATGGACCAAACCCCGATTTTACCTGATTTTGTAGTCACTGTGCATGTCACAATTATAAACCAGTCGACGCGGAAATTTATCAAGTGAAGTGACTTGATTCGTTAAGTGGATATTTTATTTTTCACGCAAAAGTTATGGTCAATTTCACCCGCCAAATATTATCCTGAACTCTAATCCGATACAAATTTCCGCATCTATTGTAACATGCAGAGGGACTTAAAAATTGAGAAAATTTGTTTTTGGTCCATTTGAAACCCTAAATATTTTGCTATCATAACCATAATTGAGATATATAGCGTGGGTGCAAATTAATATCGATGAACCGATTTTATAAAAAGAACTTTTACTCCCAGACCAAAAAAAGTAAATTAACTTAAATTAAAAATTATATTGTCTGGGTAGAATTGCTGTTGCTTAGAACAATTTTCAATGAACAGGCCAAAAATTTCCATAGAACAGTAATCCAGTTCCAAACTTTATTCACTAAAATAAATGAATTGACGGACGGGCAAGCTTAAATTGGCAAAAATACTTACCTTCCTTTTCCTTTAAAATTGTTTGTAACTTTTAATTTTTTTTTTTGTAATTCACACTTTTTAATTAATTTTTTTATGGGCGCGTTTTGGTGTTCACAATGTGCTTGCTATAACTTTTTCTTCGTTAATAATCTAACCTTTTTGATGGCGTCTTTTAAAACGGTTTTTGTGAGTACAGAAATTCTAACGGCACTTTCTCAAGCTTTTCGATAAACGATTTATATCGAAAGCCAATTATGATCATGTTATGTGGCCTTTCCACTGCAATTGATTTGCTCTCTATTATGTTATGTTCTCATTGCACTTTTAATCACTTTGATGGCTTTCAGAATTAGGTACACGAATCAACCCGTTCATATTCGTAACTCAAAGTAACACAATTCCTTTTTTCAAATTTTTTGTTTGTTGATTTTTATAGGAATTTGTATGAAAGTACATGAAAAGAGCATTTATGATAATAGAAGAAATTATTGATTTTCCTCCAAAGATTTATTTTATCTTTCATTTAAGATTTTTCATTCGTGTTTTGAAGTTTTTGTATAAATGTTGATATTTGAAATACATTTTTGTATTTTCTCATTTTAAAATCAGTTGGAGGGTCACTTGTCAAAAATTTTTTTTGTCGATAAAAAATTTTTAAAATATTGTCTCTATCTAACTCTAACTCGTGCACAAAATGCGTACCTCGGATGAGAGAGAGAAAACTAAACTTACTTTCGTTTGAATGTACCAACGAAATTTTGTGTGAAGAATTAAGTTGATATTTATTAATTAACGGTCGAACTTCATGAACTATGGAAACAACGACTTAATTCAACACAAAATATTTCCTGGGCGAACACTCATCAAAACAATGAAAAAATATGTCCCATCCTTAACATATGAGAGCATTTAAAATAAATTACGACATTTGAAAATGCAAAATAGAAAAATTTAATGAAATTTTAATAATTTACAGGAAAACTAAAGATTATGAATGCAAAATATAATGTTGAATGGTGTATGTACATTCAGACGAAAGAAAAATTCGTTCTCTATCTAATCAATGGTATGCATATTGTCCATACGAATCAGGACTAATGCGCACAATTCTAGAAACAAAAATAAATGCATTTTTCGAATGCCTGTATCAATAACAATTCTTGACATGTCTCTCTTCTGTAGAGTTGAAAATTGCAAAAATATTACAATGTCAATAGTGAAAAGAAAAAGGGCGAGTATATTATCATTAATTTCAACTAACTCGCCAACTTACGAAATTAAATTGATAAAATTTAAGCGCATTTATACTTTTGAAGATTAAACCAGTGAGTTTAATAGGTGCAGTGGGTTAGTTTTGTATGTTTGAATACACCCTTACGAGGATATAAATATAGCTCAGCTGATGTTTATCTATACATACACAACCGGAATAAAATGCAAAATATTGCAAAAAAGGTGTAGCGAAAAAGCGAGACTATTCTATTTCTGTATTGTTATTCTGGTTGAATAAATCCAATAAAGAATTAATCCTGATAATGTGGATTAATTCGGATAAAATTTTGTATTTAAATGCGCTATTAGACTCAGAATACATGCATCATAAGAAAGATACTTCAAACTTTCTTTTCACGGGCAAGCAATATTTATTACATTTTCTAACTTGATAGCTCTGGCTTTATCTGATGCTAAATCGGTTGGGTTAAATTTCATTCCATTGGTCTAATATTACACAATATATTACACATTTGCATAATAAAACAAAAGTCGAATGAAGATATATGTGGGAGCTATTATCTAAATCAGAGCCGATTTTCACAAGAGTTCAATAGGATTCGTCCTTGGGTCGAACAAATGATTTGTGCAAAATTTCATTTCAATCGGATAATAAATGCGACCTATGTTTTTGTTTGTAATAATACATGAACAGAGTCACAGACGGGCGGAAAGGTCATGCATAAATCAACTCGGAATGTGATAATATGAAGATCATTCAAAGGACGTATTTCTCCTTGAAAATAAAAATATTTTTTTATTTGATCTTTAAAAAATAATTATTGTAATCGTGTATACTCCCTTATGTGCGACACTTGTTAAGCGAAAATCAAACACCCGTGCGAACATGGTGATATGTTTCCTTCAATAGCGCACAGATTATAATCATCTCTCATGTATCTCTTCTATGCTTTCAAATGTGTTGTGCATAACCAAACAAAACCCGAAAAAAAGTTGTGTGTGTGTAACTTCGGCAAAAACTAAAAGCTGAAGTTAGTTGAGGAATATTTAGTCTCTACCAGAACTGCAAGAATATTATAGTTTTACTACGATTCCCTTTATGATATCGGAAAAAATTGCAAAACTAGTAGATTCTTACAGGTTCTGGAACAGAGAAAATTTTAATGCTTAAGTTATGTCCTGACGAAATTAAAATAATGGATACGAGGAGTCACTTTCCGAGTCGATTTAAGGATGTCTGTCCGTCCGTCAATCTATCTGTCCATGCATTTTGTGGACAAAATACATGTCGCATTTATTGTCCGATTGAGATGAAATTTTCCATACATAATTTATTTGGCCCAAGGACGAACGCTGTTAAAATTGGTGAAATCGGATCAGATTTAGATACTTCATAGGTATCTTTCTTCGTTTACAGTTTTATAGTGTGTAATATAAGCCGAAGTGAAATTAAAAGTATAAGTCGCTTTTCCTGAAATTTGAATACCCTCAGACTATGTCTTCATTAAAATATTTTTTGACATAATTTATGATCATTCAAAATGATACCCCATTATGTCGAGAGGGGGTGAGTTCCAAAGGAATGGGCCAATATTTTCTATTTTGTGTCTCACCTAAGTCTGATTTTGGACCATATCGACTACTTCCTTCACTTTATGTATGTGACAATAAGACATGTCACAATTTTTGAAGAAGGTTGAAATGTGTGTGTGGGTACCGTATATAGATGACCGAAGTATTCATCTTATGCTGATAAAAATATTGGAATGTGTGAAAGTTAAAGAGAATCGGATACTTTTTTCGCATTTTATGAGCGTTTCGCTATTCAAAATGTAGACCTTAAAGGTGGAGGTACCATCTCCGAACTCGATCTAGATTTGATAATAAGTTGTAATGTAGTTCAACGAGTTTCTCCAAACCTTGTATATTACAATATTTTTACCAAAAAAAAAGATCTGATCTGAATATGAAATTTATGGGTCCACTCCCTATGGTGCCTTCCCAATTTTTTCCACTTTTTGATTAATTATAACCCCTATACATGCGAAATAAATCAACGATTTTCTTCAAAACCGACGGATAATTTTTAACTTGTTGCCATATCAAATGATATATACCCTCTGTAGCTATATAGCTGAGGATATAATTAGAACGAATCAAGCCAAGAAGTGACTATAGCTCCCATATATCTTCATCCAATTTAAGATTTATTGTGCACCAAATGTGTAATATTAGCCCAAATAAAAGTTTGCTCGTTTGGTCAAAACTAAGCAAGAAGTGACTATGTAATTTGGTTAAAGTCGAATCAGATATAGATTTAGCTATCATATATATCCTCATCCGATTCCTAGTATATTGTGCACCAAATGTGCAATGTTAGCCCATATGGGATGGACAGTTGAGCCAAAAAGTGACTGTAAATAATTTGGTGAAATCAGTTTAGATATAGCTTTAGCTCCCATATATATGTCTCATCCGATTTTCTTCTTTAAACCCAACAGCCGCAATATGCACTCCATAACAATGATTTTTGGTGAAATGTGTCTTTTATTAAAGAATGAAAATGAATTAGAAACAACGACGGCTGTGGGAAGGGGAACTTGTGCCCCACTACCTTCGGTTCCAAAGTAGGCTAAGAGGTAGTCGAAGAAGTACCATAAAGTGTCTAAATGACGTGTTGCACAATATTGTCGCCATTTGGTTGTTGTTTTGTCCATGACGTGTGACAAAGAAATCTGTAACGCGTCCACTTTTTAGTCGTTATAAAGAAACCAATATTCTTGATTCTTTGTTGTGTTGAATCCATGGTAGAAGAATATATATATGTGGAGAGAGTTATTTGGGGAATTAGTTTGGATACTTCGAACTTTGTGGGGACATTTTCTGTATTTGTCGGGTCTGACCCCGAATTCTCAGCGCTGTAGCGAATTATTAGAGGACATTCTGAATTCGGGGACAAAATTTATACACATTAATTTTCTATGGCTATTTGATTTGTACTCATATTACTTTCTAAAATATATATTAATTTTTAATATGTTTGCTCAAAAAATATGATTTTTTGGGTAAAACAAACAAATCTTAAGGAATATAAAACGTGATAGAATGTAATATATTCATTATATTACCCAGATATCGGGTGATATGTGCTAATTTAGTCAAAATTTAATTAAAAATTAGCATTTTTTTATTTTTCCTTACTGTCCCCGAATCATTCCCCTGACATATATATATAGGTAGATGCATCAACGCTTGCGAACATTGATATGTAAAAATTTTAAAATTGTTTTGTCAAAAATAACTAGATTTTTATATAATTTCTTATACGATGCAAATCGGAGGTTGTTACAATATGCATTTTTTTCTCAACAATTTTTACAAATTTTAATAATTCTCATTCAACATTTTCAATTCCAAAATCGGTTTGATAGTTCATTGTCCCAGCAGCTGTGTCGAAGTGTCTACCTGTATTCTTCTACCATGGTTGAATCTGTAAAGCCAGTATCATAGGTGGCACTTGCACTATTTGCACAAAGTGCGGAGTAGCGATGATTAACGGCGTTATATTTAGTTGATAATTTGATGAAACAGGGTAACTCTATGTATATATTTTTTGGTTTTTTACCCAAAAAATCATATTTTTTGAGCATACATATTAAAAATTAATATATATTTTAGAAAGTAATATGAGTACAAATCAAATAGCCATATAAAATTAATGTGTATAAATTTTGTCCCCGAATTCAGAATGTCCTCTAATAATTCGCTACAGCGCTGAGAATTCGGGGTCAGACCCCAAATACAGAAAATGTCCCCACAAAGTTCGAAGTATCCAAACTAATTCCCCAAATAACTCTCTCCACATATATATATATATATATATATATATATATATATATATATATATATATATATATATATATATATAAATATATACTTATTCCGAATTTTGCCGAAAAGCTATTAAACTCATTAGATTTAAATTGGCTTCCGTTGCCGCTGACGGTCTGTTCTGGAACTCCGAAGGCATGAAAAATATGATGTAGTAATAAGTCTTGAATGGGTGCGGATGTGAATTTTTTGAAAGGAAAAGCCAGTGATACTTATAATGGTGGTTCAATACGATAAAAATACCAGTGTAAGCAACTAGCTTCAATGTAGCAGTGACAAAGAACTTGAG